AACTTTAATACAGGGCAAACAGCTTTTCCTTAGGAAACGTTATCTTTATGGGAGTAAAATAATGCGAATCGGTGCATAAATTTCGCACGAACTTCCTTTTAACACTGAACTACAGAAAACCAATTTGAACAGATTAGCGTGGACCAGAATTTATGAAACTATTGCATAAAAAGGGTTAAACAAGATACTAGTTAGCCCAACAAACCAATAAAGTTGATTATTATTTTAACAGACAGCTTGGTGCGATTAACAGTGTAGGGGAGTGTGACGAAGTCCCTTACTATCATGATCAGATGTTCCGCAACGGATACCCGAAACCTGGAATCAAGTGCCGAACTACAAAATACCCCATTGGGATATGAGTGGTATCGAATTGGAGGATAGGTAAGCTGAATACCATCCACGTTAAGTAGTGGTAGCAGGTTTTGAACCTCAACGTGTATTGCCCGGAGCACTAGTGACAATGAATTATTCATCCTACGCAGCACGACACCTCGATACAACTAAGAAAAATAATGAAATCAAGAAAATAATCGAACTGATTGAGGAAATTCCGGTCACCATTTTTATATCCTAAAAATACACAGAGACGGAAGTACAGCAGTAAATGAAACAAACTCACATCATGTCCTTCATATCTCCAACGGCGTTCCAAATGATAATGCATGTCGTTTGAGCATGTTTGTGAGGTTTTGTTCGTGCCCCACACTTCAACTATACCGTTTCCATGAGTTTGAACGGCAAACCTGATATGACTGTCAGATGATGGTCGGGAAGCTAAGCGCGCACAGCCCCAACGTTCCTGAATCATGAGGGCGAAGATAAGAGGTACCATGCGATGGGACAGATCAGCATTAATGTAACATGTGAGAAGGCGCGTGATTATAAAAAGAGAGTGAAACCGAACAGAGAAACCCCTCACAGCTAACAGCATAGTGTTTCAACGCCTGAAAGGAACAAAGGTGTCACCGTTTTCATTTTTTTACAACCATTAACCCTGCATTTTCAAGCGCCGGTTTTGGCTGTGGCACGAGCTAAGATTGATATCAGCAACCATATCTCCTAGAGCAGTCAGGTTATCATCGTTATACTTTAGAATAACTTGCGAAGAGTGCGAATGGCTTCATTGGTCTTACGGTAGATCTGAAGTGAAACTTTCATGATAACTTCTCAGGGTAATTCTTTTAAA